CTGCTGAGACTCGGAGAGCCCTGGTCCTTTGCCTGGACCTGGATCTGGAACACCTTCAGCTTCTCATAGTCGAACGAGTGCATGCTGTAGATGCTGCCGTTCTCTGAGTTCATGTAAACATAAGATGAGACAGAAACGTCCTGCACTTTAGAGTCCAGGATGGAGTAAGAGATCTTTGCGTTTTCTCCTGTGTCTGGGTCAGCTGCTGAGACTGAGCATAAAATCTTTCCTGGAGGATCATTCTCTTTTACATGAACAACATAAGAAAGTTGGGAGAAAACTGGAGGATTGTCATTTACATCCAGCAGTTCCACAACAATTGTTTTTTCACTCCTTAATGGAGGTTTTCCTGAATCAGTGGCACTTATCTTCACACTGTACTGACTGTTTTTCTCTCGGTCCAGCGGCCCATTGGTTACTAAAGAATAATGTTTAGAAGCAGATGGGTTTAATTTAAAGGGGGACTTTGGAGACACAGTTAATGTTACTTTTCCATTATCACCTGAATCCTGGTCGTTTGCACTGATTATTGCAATAACAGTTCCTACAGTAGAGTCTTCAGGAACAGGTGATGTTAAAGAAGTAACTATTATTTCAGGCAAATTGTCGTTGATGTCAACTATTTTGATTTCCACACTACAATGTCCATCCATTTCAGGATTTCCTTTATCTTTAGCAGTTACATCAAATCTGTGTAAGGATGTGGTCTCGTGGTCTAATTGGTTTTTCACAACGATAGTTCCAGTTGAAGGGTTAATATCAAATAAGGATAAAATCAGATCTGCAGTTTGTTCAGCAAATACATAATCAACTTCTCCATTTAGCCCTTCGTCTGCATCTGTAGCTTTAACCTGCAGAATTTCTGTTCCAGGTGTTGCACTTTCACTCACATTCGCCTCGTATATTTGTTTTTCAAACTGCGGCGCATTATCGTTATTATCAAGCACTATCACTGTAATTTCAGACGTTCCTGAACGCACCGGGTCTCCTCCGTCCACAGCTGTGAGGACGAGGTTGTGGACCGGCAGCTTTTCTCGATCGAGAGCCTTTTCCAGAACCAGTTCGGGTATTTTCCTCCCGTCTTTGTGATTTTTCACCGTCAGTTTGAAATGCTCATTTTTGCTGATGAGGTACGTGCGTACAGAATTAGCGCCCACATCCGGATCCTGCGCACTCTCTAAAGGAAACCGTGCGCCTGGGTTCACCAGCTCTGCAATTTTCACCACTTTTTCCTTAGTGATAAAACTCGGAGAATGGTCGTTTGTGTCCTGGATCTCAATCTCCACCCTGTGCAGCTGAAGCGGGTTATCTATGACCAGCTCCAAAGGCAACAGACACGACGGGCTTTGTCCACACAGCTCCTCTCTGTCTATTCTCTCAGTCACCACCAGCTCTCCTTTCCCCAAGTCCACATTAAAATACTGCTTACCAGCTTCAGAGGTTATCCGCAGTTTTCTCAGGTACAGTTCAGACACAACCAAACCCAGATCTTTGGCTAGATTTCCCACCACGGACCCCCGTTTCAGCTCCTCCGGGATGCTGTAGCGGGTCTGCGCTTCTATTGTACTCCACAGGAGAAAGAAATGATGCCACCATAGAAACACCTGCCATGTCGGCAATTTGATCCGCCTTATTCCACGTCCAGAAACCTCCATGTTGCTTCCCAACCTCTTGAGCGAAATGTAAAATGTGTAAAATCCAAAGACGAGGTCCGGAATGATAAAAGAAAAGTCATGCTTTGTGTCTGCATGTGCATCCCTCTCCTCCTGTGCGCAACATCGTTACGCCTACAGACGAGAGCGGCTCCCTGAGACAGACTAGATCTCTTTGTACAGCTCAGAATATCATTGGTGCACGAGGCAGAGCAATTCCCTCTAATCGTGGCACAGCAGAGCAGTGACGTAAGACGCTGGCTTCATTTGGTCAAATAAATTAATAAATAAAAGCTTCTGCATATCAAAGCGGTGGTAAACTACTCTCTCTCTCTCTCTCTCTCTCTCTCTCTCTCTCTCTCTCTCTCTCTCTCTCTCTCTCACACACACACACACACACACACACACACACACACACACACACACACACACACACACACACACACACACACACACATACACACACACGCGCCGCGCGCGCACACGCACACATAGTTTATTTATACATGCTTGAGTGCAGTGCCATAAGTAGCCAAAAAAAAAAAAAAAAAAAGGCAGAAATAATCATGCAATGATTTGTGAGGATCATTTTATCTTTCTTCCTGTGTGCACCTGCATGTGGGGTGTGTGTGTGCAATGCATGTGTGATAATCAAGGCTCTTCGTTGCCTTCCTGTGGTCAGACAACGCCAGTGCACCATGCATGCACGTCATTACGCCTCCACAGCTTTACGCACGGCTCAAGCTAAGAAGTGGGCCAGCGGCTGACGTGAAATACCCGTATGGAGGTCTGTGGAGCAAGCCAGAAGGGGAGGGGGGAGTGCACGTGTTGAAGCTCTGCCTCTGTCTCTCCTTCTTTCTTACTCACACACAGATATCTGCAGCCTGCCTGATCTCATCTCTAACACATACATTTGCTACAATAAAGAGCATTACTCAGATATTTATTCATTTATTATTTTAAAAAATGCATAAAATAGAGTTACATACCATACACCATATGCCTTATGATTCATAAAGAATATTACAAATCATTTGTATTTCTATACCAGGTTTAATGCAGTCCAATATATGCAAAATATTGAAACAAATCCAAGTGTGTCAAACGATATATAAAAATAATAATAATCAAAATGGATCGGAATACATTTCCAGTGTGTCTAATAGTCAGAATCTGTAGACAGAGGGGAGCAGCAGAGGGAGATATGGAGTCTGTGAGCTTCACAAAGAGGAAGAGGAGGAGGAGGCAAGGGAGCAGTTGATTTCAGCACCACAGCGTGTGGACAGCGCCACACAGGCGGTGAAGTGATGGAGCTGCAGGGGAGGAGGAGGAGGAGGAGGAGGAGGTGGAGGAGGAGAGGCTCTGCTGCTCTGTCCGCATGCAGTCAGGGGGAAACAACCAGCCTTAACCAGATATATGTTTATCATTTATGCCAAATACTACAAAGCTTAAACACGTGCAAGATATGACAAAAAAAAAAAAAAACAACTAACGTATATTAAAAATGGATAGTGACTGTGACAGAAGTGATTACATTAGTGTCGCTGGTAAAATATTTTAATTATTTTAAATCATGATTTGCTGCTGCTTTAAATAAGTTATTTCCAAGTCTGACATTTGTAGTTTTCAAGAAAGAGAGCAGTTATACAGTTACAATAAATTAGATATAATATTTTAAGTTCAAGCCACACAGTGTCAGGTATGTGAAGCCTCCTGATCAGACGGGAGCATGTCAAAATACACAGTGCTGCTAAATGAGGCTTACGATGTCAAGAGTTGTGGAAACTGTTTTGATATGCAAATTTATTTGCCATTACTCACTATATTTATTGTAGATTACAACATAAAAATACATTTTATTTTGTGCATTTTTGTAATGTAAGCGAGAAAAAAACAGACCAGTTACAATGAATAATTAAATAAATGAATAAGCTGATTTATAGTAAACATTTAGCTTCTTTAGGTATTTGTTTATGACAGTTGACCTGGGAACTCTAAGGAAAACATAATCTTACAATAAATGCTGCCTATATGTTTTTTGTTGTTATATTTTATACTATTTAAGAGAGGTGAACTTAAATAAGACTGCTGATTTAAATGATACTTTATATTCCAAGCTGCAGTTTAGGGTGATGCATTGTTATTTTGGATTAATGACTGAGGAAAGACTTAGATAATTTAATCACTACTTTGTACAATGAAACACAAGTAAAGAAGCCATCAAAGAACTATATTAACAAAGTTAAACTTCTTTATAGTACTGTACAAACAGCAAACACATTTCTTCATGTTCTGTTTCCATGTAGCAAACATTCTTAATAGCTTATGAAGTAATGATTAATACTTAGGCATAGTTTTTAATGGGCTTTTACAATCTTTTCTTGTAGTTTCTGAATATTGTTTGTCCCTAATAGAGAGACTTGAACATAACTATTTAAAAATGAGCTTTTGTTGGTTTTATTTTTAAGATTCTGACCTCAGATTTATGAATAATTACGACAAAACAGGTCTGTAATTTTACAGAATGTCCTGGTGTGTTAAATCACAACAGGCAACAACAACAAAAAAAGGTAATTTACTTTGAACTTTAGTCATTTTTTACAGCAGCCTGTCAAAAGGATAAAACGTATCCCTGTCTTTAGTTACATATATACAATTATGAATATTCAGTTTAATCTAGAATAGTAGTTTAACATAAACAAGCTTATTCCCAAAAAAGTTTATAGACAAAAATAGGTTATACAGTAAATAGTCAACCAACAATTTCTTAGGTTCACTATCAGATCATTACTTAATTTTTAAAATCTGTTTATGAAAAAACATAACTTTTAGATACAGTTCCTTGACTGCAACATGTTTTTTTTTGTCTAAATATTCTTTGTTTGTCCTCAACTTTTCTACTTTTTGTTTTGTTTCTTTGTACACACATGCTGTCATGGGCAGATGCAAATACTGGAAAAAAGGGGAGCAAAACAGCAAAGTCTATGGAGAAACAAACAAGAAAGACAAAGCTAAAAGTCTTGGTAAACATCAACCATCAGCTCTTCAAAACGCAACAAAAATATTTGGCTTGTTGCAAAAAAATGGATATTGAAAGTTAAGGTTGTTCAAATCTCGTGCACAGTATTGTATATTTTACAGACTTCACAAAAGTGGATATAATAAGCTAAGCCTTTATAGAGTATTTAATGTGTTGTGTTGTGAATATAAGAAAGTGGAAGCTTAGTGAACAGTTATCAGCAGCTTAACAATTAAATCTTTGAATTCTGCTGTGAAACATTACTTTACACAGCAAATAACAGACAGAAAAAAAGGCAAATAAACTTAAACTTCAACTTAGACAATGTCTGACTCGTTCTGTCTGTAAACTGGTAAATAATTATCAAAGTTAGTATTGTTTTTATGTTTATATGTACATTATATACACGTGAAACAAAGTATAACCCTTTCTTTTCTACTACACCTTCTTGTAGTGCTTGACTGCCAGATCTCTGCCACTTCAGATGGGCATGTGTTCCTTCACCAGCTGGTCTTCACTGCTAATACTTTTCTAAAGCTATGTAATCCTTTTAGTAAGAAGAGCTGTTTAACCCATCTTTACATTAAAGGTGTAAGCTTTTGGTGACCTAAAATGTGCCTTTGTAAATAAGTGGTGTCTTATCTATGATACAAATTGAAACTTATGTCCATCTAATGACTTGACTTATGTGTACTATAACTATATTTATTGTATTGAATTGCATTGTATTATATCGTATTGTATTGCACTGTAAAGTACTGTATTGTATTGCATTGTATTCCATTATCTTGCACTGCATTGTATAGTACTGTGTTGTATTGTATTGTACTGTACTGTACTGTATTGCACTGTATTGTATTTTATTGCATTGTATTGCAATGTACTGTGTTGTATTGTATTAATCATACTGTATTGTAATGTATTGTACTGTATTGTATTGTAATAAACTGTGTTGTATTGTATTGTATTATTCATATTGCATTGTATTGTACTGTACTGTACTGTACTGAAATGTACTGTGTTGTATTGTATTATTCATATTGTATTGCACTGTATTGTACAACACTGTATTGCATTGTACTGTACTGTATTGTACTTTACTGTATTGTATTGTGCTATTATGTATTTTACTGCACAATATTGAGTTGTACTGTAGTTTATTGTACTGTATTGTATTGTAACCTCAATGACACCAACAATTACTCATGTTCTGAGTGTCAAGCTGCACTGTAATGGTTCAGAGTTAAAAGTGAGCTACCAGTGATTGACTAAAACATCTGTTTGGTGTGTGAACAGATAGACAGCATGTAAAAATTGTCTCTTTTATCATAAATTGACAATATCGGAACAGTTTGTGGTTTTTAATGTATGATGATGTGAAAGGTGATGTCAGCACATCAGTGATGTTTTTCTGATGTAGAGTCATGAATGTTTGTACAGCTGTATGTGTAATACTTCAATTATATACATACAAACAATTTCTTACCTTATTTGGTGAGTCAGGATTCAACACAAATCAAGATGAAACAGGAACAACGCATCACAGCAAGAGGGACACATGAAAGATAAAAACAAAAGACAAAAATAAAAAGTTAGATTGGCGATCATTATACACAGACTGTGGGGCCGACAGCATACTTACCACGAGAATTAAAACAAAGTTAGGCTTATGTGTATTGATTTATAGAATGAGTTTGTGCTGAAAGTGGGGATAATGTGTGCTGTTTGAGTGTATTTCTTTCAGAACAGTAAGGACAGAAAAACGTAAAAAAGGCTAAATAATACAACCCAAGAAAAAAAATTTAATCTTGGTAAATAATTTCACAAAGTAGTGTATGTACAAAATGAAAAACAGAAACAAAAAATGTTAACTGAACAATAGTGTTCAACTAGAAGTCTCAAATCAAGTTGATTTTTTTTACATGTGAAGGAAAGATAAAAAAATAAAAAAAATCTTCACAGAAATTATGACTGAGCTCCTGTCAAATTATTTTAAATATAAAACAAATATAGGAAACAAAATCAAACTATTAAAGGGAAATTAAATTGTCTGAACAATGATAATACTATACTACTACTACTACTACTACTACAACTACTACTACTACTACTACTAATAATAATAATAATAATAATAATATTCATAATAATAATAAAAATAAAACTGTTACACATCCTGTGGTGTCTTCCCTGTAACATCCATCAAGTATTTTTGATAATCATCTTTACCAGATTTTAATAAATGTCTACCTGCATGTTAGAATTTGTTATCCAATAGAAATGGATACATTTAACGCTTAACACTTCCAAAAAACACAAAACTGCATTTATACTGTTCAGACAAATTATTGTAAATGTCAACAATCATAACCAAGGGGAAGTAAATGATGCAAACACTCATTACACAACCTGTGTATGGATCAACAAAAAAACACTGCACTGCAGAAAACCACTACCTTAATACCAACAGCAGAGGGCCTCGAGGCGATGGCCCAAGACAAACCTATTGAGTATTAATAAGATGCTTTGGCTTCATGTTTGCTCCAGATGATGTGCACATGAAAGGCTTTGGAAAGGCAAATGCAAGATTCTTAGACTAAATAAAGCACCGGCTGTTAGTTTATGAATATACTCATATATAAACAGAAATGTGCAATCCATACTGTTTAGATGCACAGCTCATATAACTGCTGTAAAATCAAAACATGATCATATGAAAAGCAGGTCATTCAGGAGAACAATGAAGTCAACCCCAAAAATGTTTTTTTTTTTTTGTTCAACTAACTGAAAAGGAAGAAATGTCCACATTTTTAGCTCACATTGTTGCTTTCTAAAACAGGGTAAATGAAAATGAACACAAAAGCTTATATTAAACATAAAATACCACTAAAACCCATGACATCCCTTTCCCCCCACCTTCTCCATCATCAGACACCCCAGATCTTAGAACACTGCTGCAAATCTGCTCAAATCAGGGGTGTTTTCTACATTCCCAGGCTCAAAAAATACATGTAGTTATCACAAATCAGAGGCTGCCCACCCCCGTGGACCCATTTAAATGGAACAGTCTGGTCTGTGAGTCAGCTTGTTGCTATGGCACCACATCCCACCTCCCCTGCTTGCATCCCACCCTGCTTCCTGCAAGCTGCTGGTGGTAAAAAAAAACAAAAAAAAAACTGAGCAATGTAAAACAACAAAACAAAAAAAAAATCATGGACAAAGACAAGAGCAGACAAAACTTAAAAGATGATAATATGACAAAGACAAATATAAAATGTGATAAAGAAAACACATTTCAACTGATATCTATGTTCCAAATGATTTTCTGACAAAGGCCTAAAAAACAAAATGTGATTTTTACTAAACACATAGTTCATACAGAAATAAAGTTGCACTACAGGACAAATGTCCTTTAAAAATAAGAACAAAATGCCCTACATTAATTTCCATTCTCTCCTTTTTCTCTCTGTCTGTCTCTCTTCCTCTGCAGCAGAGGGGTGCAGCTGGAGAGGGGGAGGGGAGACATGCAGAGAATGAGAGCAGGAGGAAGAAGGAGGACTGATGGAAACCAAGGCTGATGAGTGAACAGCAGCTTTCAGTTTTTATAAGAAAAACAAAAACATTTGTCTATTTTTTCTGACTGAATATAAAAAAAGCAAACGATTATAAAAGGTAAAACGTAATAGCTCTTACTTAAAAAGATCTCATTATATTTCAATGCAAAACTTGGACATTACCTCAAAACACATTTAAAATGTTGACTTGAAACATGGACAGAGTTTTATACTTTCACCTATAAAACATCACCAGCTCACAAACAATATAACCACTGCCTAAAATATAGATTTTTTAAATTTATTTATCTGGCTATAAATCAAACAATAGTAAAAACAAATTGAGGAAAACCCATATAATAGCAAACATTTAAAGCTAAAGCACCTTTACCATGGGTCGAACAGGACAGATGTTCAGTATATATGTTATACAAACTTGGCTTCATTTAAATATCCGTATATAATTCAATCAGTCAAGCAAACATAAAAAAAAAAAAAACCATTAAAATAATAATTAAAAAACACGAGCAAAAGCAACAACCACACACAGAGAGAGGGAGAACGTAGTGGAGCTAAAGTATTAAGGAATCAAATATTTTCTCAATTTGAAAAAAGTCATACTATCCTAAATGTGTGGGTCAACAAACACACAATGAAATATAAAAGTGTAAACAAAGTGTTGACAAGCTCCCTGGGTGTAAACATGGACCCACAGCTGCCCAACAGACAACTCTGCCAGGAGAACCAAACATTTAAACAGGAGCTTGGGTCTGTGAGAAACGTGAACTTTAGTGTGTTTGATGGTAGTTTGTGTCAACAGCAAGGTGAACAAATTAATGGGGATTTTTGTCAAACTAAAAATGGCTGCTGATGAACTTAAACTGATTTATTTAACTTCAGAAGGATGAGAGAACTCACTGAAGCAGCACAGCAGAAGGTTTAAACAGCCTGACCAATGATGCTGCAAAGATATTTCTGAGAAGTCTGACCTCCCCGGTGAGGTAAGTATAGTTATGGAAATTCATGGTAATGAACAAAAACTCATCACAAAGACTAACTTTAAAAAAAAAAGAGACACAGTTGCTTAAATATAGGAAATGAAAAAAAAAAAAAAATCACTGATGTGGCTTGATGGGACAGGGTGAGTTATTTCTGGTGGAAACAACACATTTACCTTTTAATTTGTCAACTTTTCTTTTTACATGCACATCCCATAATAAATGAGACATCAGAGCTACCACATGCACACTTATTAACAGTCATGGCCTCACAAAGTGGAGCAGGATGAGGTCAAGCTTGTGCAAATAATATTCTTGGAGTCTCTATCCTGTGTTTTTTTTTTTTTACTCGTGTGTTAAGTTACATATGTTTAAACAAAGCCCTAAATCCTAGAATACAGCTTTTTAAATCAAATCTGAAGAGGATAAAAAAAGTCAAAATACAAAGCTATTAGTATAGAACTATTAAATTATCTCCTGAAAATGTAAAACAAAAAGTTGACATTGCCTTTACAAACAAAGACTGTATTTGTCTGTAGAGGCTTGTCCTGTTTAACTCCACACTCGTCCAGGTCAGGTTTAGTTTATTTAAAATGCCTCCATCCTGATTACTGACCTCTCTTTTGTTCATGTTATATAACCAGTGTCTTTCTCTCTCTCTCTGTATGTCTCTTGCATCAGCTTCTTCATTTTTAACATACACTTTAGTCTGTCTACATCCTTCACACTGCTGTCAGTGAATTAAAAAACGTGTTTCTCATGTGAGACGTCCCATCTTTTCATCCTGTTTCAGTAAACAAGTTGAGCTGCAGATCAAAATGGCTGCTGAGCATCACTAACACGAACGCTGCACAGGCTTGGTGAGACTGTGCTGGATACCACGTGCCTCCTCCCCTCCCCCTCTGCATCTCTCCTCATCATCTCAGCACAGCTTTTGCTCCTGGTTCTCAATCTCAACACGGTCAAAACAAAGGTTATCTCACCATCTTGACCAGAATGTAAACGTTGTCGTGAATAACGTGTCCGTTTTAAATTTTTGTTTGATATGTTGGAAGATAAACTGAAACAGATTGAATATATAAAACAATTAAAGCCCAATTCTCTGTTTTGATGCTCAGTGCTGCACAGTGTTGGAGGAGAAGTAGGTCAGTGACAAAAAAAAAAAAAAAAAACGAGTGCAGTACGTGGTTATGTGTCTCTCCATGAGAGGATATTTAGTCCAGCCTGAACAGGGATGAAGCGTAGCATTTTCATACAGAAGCCATAAAAAAAACAACTGTATTCTCTGATGTAAAACATATAATCGATCAATAAAACAGACAAGGATGAAAAAAATCACTGGAGTAATCATCTTTCTAACATCAGGCCAAAAAAGTCACATCCATACATCCATCTATCCATCCATCCATCCATCCATCCATCCAGCCATCCATCCATCCATCCATCCATCTTTTTTTCTGGTGCAGTGAATATGTGAAAGGCAAAGTACATCCAGGGCAGGTCCTGAGACATGGTATTGTAATCATGAAGTGATTAAATTAGGTTCCAAAGTAAAGCAAGGAAGGTGTAGATCATAAAACGAACAAAAGTAAAAGTGTTTCGATAGTCTATCCTACAAATATAAACAACAGAAATATATAGAACCACGCAGATGTACATAAGTCAGTATGACGTCTATACATATATGAGGAAATCTTCAAAAATAGGTTAAAAATTAATACACGTTATGAAAAAGATAAATGAGAATATAGGACATAAATTAAAATCTGCTCTCTTTGTTTTATGTGATATTATAAATTTGGGTCACAATTTAATGATAAATAAGTTCAGCCCAGCAAAAGGTAAACATTACAGTTGCTGAAGATAGGGAAATATTTTAAAGGTAAAATGAGCTATTACATTGCTTCTTTATGAAAACAAATTTCAGCCTGTATATTTCACTGAAAGTGGAATATGAACCAAAAAAAATAAAAAATAAAAAAAGTCTGAAACTAATGGAAAACACACGTTTCATATAAATAAACTAAGACAGATGTTTTTTTTTCAGGGGAGCTGTTGATCTCACCTCTGTTTGCACATGCTCTGTTTCTGCTTCAGGCCTTGGCGCTGTCCTGTCAGCACCACAGTCAACACGCAGAGTGTTCTGACTGAAGTTCCGCGGACATTTAAAGTCACTCATCCTGGAATCGGATGTTCCGTAAACTTCGTAGTTGAAACCCTGTTTTAACGTGCCACTCCCTCCTGCGTCTGCGTAAAGGGACGGGTAATACGGAATGACAGGGAGGTTCCCAGTGGATTTATAAAATAACTCCTGTCTCCATCTGTAGATTTTCACCGAGATAATAACCACTAAACAGG